TATTGGAAGGTACTGAAGGAGTCAGTAGTACAAGTCGCGCTCAGATCGAAACTCCTACTCGCGATTTCATCAGACAAGCGCATTGGATTGTGGGAAAATCAATGTTTATCGACACAAATGTCACACTTGCGTGGCGCAAAGACACTAGCCATTTAACGTTGTTTTTTATTGGAGACGTGTTGACGTGAATGCAACGGACGTACTTGCGTAAAAATGAATAGACATTTACGCTAAACACAGAGAATCACTGAAAACCAAATGAATATTGTATATACGCATCCTAGATTTTCTATATGACAGGGTATATCAATTATCATATCTATAGATTCTTTAGTTAACCTGGCGCCATGTCTTTCAAACATGGTCTAGGACCAAATACCATATATGGGTGAAAGACCCAGAATCCAAAAACACAGACAAAGATTAGAATCGACAATAAAGATAGAAATTATATTAACAAATAATTATTGTCACTAGCTTGATTTCTATAAACATAACTCGATGCACACGTACATGTTGAACAAGCTATTCAATTTATATTTCAATAAATCAAATAAATCTGCAAAAGTTAGCCAATAAACTAGCATCACTACGTAATTAAATCCACATCAATTAATTATAGAATTGCCTCATTTTATTCCCAAAATAACAGGTTAATGCACAGCACTTGTGACTGAAAACTTTCAAGCAATCGAAACCAAAGAGAAATAAGATTAATAACAAATATTAGATCAAATGATATAAAAACATACATAACAATCGCAACAAAATAATGGATTTACATAGATACACAAAAACGTATATATTTATCTAACCGCAAAGCAAAGCTCCAATAAGTTTAGCCATTGGGAAATAACAGCTAAATAAACACTCAACTCCATACTGTATTTCGGTACCCTTTCTTTTTACTCACGTTCTTCAATACATAATTCCCCTTCAAAACCGCATTCCGGTACATCGTCCGGCGGTATGTCTCCTGGCCAATCAATTGTAAGCGCAACAACGGGTTCATACATCTTGCGGGTACCGTAATAATTGGCAATAACCTACACAATAAAAAATAAATACATACACGTTTTTAATTAAACTCTGATCATTGAACTTGTACATTTCTTTACAACCTAAATGTAATTACTTGTTCATATGTGAGTTGTGTTCGTTTCTCTTTAACTAAAAAATATCGACGAAGACATCAATGCTTTATTATTAGGTAATATTTTCACTTGTTTTAGGATAAGGCGAGCTCAAAAGAAGATCCTCTTCTTCCCGAATATTGACGAGGCTTGTGTTTCTTCAAATTGTTAATTATAAGATTATTCCCAATTACATTTTATCACATATGGCCATAGACTGAGCAAACTACATAATGAATCTAAACGAATAACGTATTGCTTTCAAAGGATCCAGAATTCCAGACGATAAAATTACTGGGAAAATTATGCAACAAGAACTGCGGCTAGACTCATTCCAAGAACAAACAAATCACATGCACGTTGATTGACAGATATGCAATTCCCAAAGGAACTTATTACGGTAAATGATAAAGAGAACATTATTAGAGAGACGAACGAATTTTGAAAGCCACTTAAATGCTTGGTCCCGTGAGCAACTCAGTGTACGGTGATTGTCAGATTGGTCAAATTGCCCTGTAATACTCTCTTAATTAATAGCTGCGTTGAACAATTACC